TTCTTGTCCTCCATGTGCCTGGAGAATCTGCAAGTATTTTTTTTTTTTGAACGTCAAAATGAAGAAGTGTAGAAGTGGAGAGTGGTTAATCTTCAAATTTCTGAATACGAAACGATGGAAAGTCAAGTTTCATGTCCCCTCCACAAAAACAAGTAGCACTGTTCCCTCTTATACTCTTGCATGCTATTTCATGTAATGTCTTGGCATTTAGGAAGTTTTTTGTTTTAAAATGAAAGGTATATGTAGAGATTACAGTTATCAAATTTTGTTAACTATGTATAGTTTTTCTTATTACAAACTATTAGCACACGAAAATGGAAAAGATAACGTATGACAGTTAGCTTGTGCAAAGCTTCATGAACATAAAGCTTTCTGGTTTCACAATGAACTACAGGGTTGTTTTTGTTTTTTGTTTTTGTTTTTTTTCTTCAAGAGCTTGTTCAGATGTTCATTTGTCTCCATAGATTCATGTGCAAACAGGTTATTTTGTTGTCACAAGCATCTTGAAGTAACTATCTGTAAACAAACTCATACATGCCTTAGTGATCGCTTCTGTTGTAGTGACTGTCCCTTACAGCTATGGAGGCGACAGTTCAGAGTGTAGGCTCCCAGATGTACTTGAGTCTCGATGGCTGGTTAATTCTTAGGAAATTGCACCAAAATGTAAACTCTTTTTCCTACTTTGAAAAAGTAAAGACAAAGCACTGCTGACAAAAGAATAAAGTTTATGAGAAAAGGTTTTGATTTCATGGCAGGAACCAGTTCTCTGATCCTGGAAAGCTGATTTAAGTGTCAGTAAATATATCATCCCCCTTTCCATACCTACTTGTTTGAAGCTGTCACATGAAGACAGGTGAAAATAATCTGACCATGCTGATTGTTGTATCAAAGGAGCTGTACTGTTCATACTGAATGAATGGAATAAAAGTCAATAATGATGCTACATTTTTTTTTTCTGTTCAACGCGTCTTAAATGTGTTCTTGTGTTGGATGCATCTTCCTGAAGCAGGGGCATTTATTTAACTTTCAAATTCGAAGCAATGTGATTTTTGTATCCCTCTAATGATTAGGTTTTGCATAAGTATTAGGTAAGTTAAAGGCTGTTCTTCAAACTTGAAAACATGAACAGAAAATGACTCTGAACCTTTTGAATCAGCTCTCTGCCTTGCGATTTTTTTCTTAGGCTGTACATGAAGATGGGAAAAGTTATATCCACTAGAGATTTGTAGAAGTTTTCCTACTATACAGGATGAAACATTTTGGAAAGCTTCCCAGATTGAAATAGAATGTGGGGAGATGCTTATAGCCTAATTAAATTTTAGCTGAGGAGTTTCTTGTTTGATTTTTGTACTGTAATACGTTTTTTCAAGAATTGCACGGTAAGAAACAAGTATCTTGGCAGTCATTGGGCATTCAGTAACTGTTTGAACTTCTTCAGTATCTTCTCTAAGAAACCTATTGAGCAATCATACTACAGCAACAACAACTTGTTCTTCTTCCTGCAAGCAAGAAATATTTAAGTCATGCAGTAGATCTGGACAAGCACTGAAGAAGAAATGGTTGTTCGTGTATGGCAGTTCTTCGAGATGAGTTGTTCTTATTGCTGTTCTGTGACTTACCCTTCGGTTCCACTGATGTGGAGTATACTGATGTTGAGATTCCTTGCAGTGGAGCAAAGATTAGGTTAGGATGGTGGTTTTCTCCCTTTTTGGAGTTGAGGCGGATTAGAGAATATGTGTAAATGCTGCCTGAAGAACACTGCATATTGTGTGTGCCCATCACACGTTGCAAAAATAGTCATTTCATAGATGAGGACAGCTTTTGTGAAAGCTTAGTTTACTGGAAGGCATTCTTACAAACTTATGGAGTAATTTTAATGAAGTTACTTTCTCCATTGCAATTAAATAGGCCATGCGAAGTAAGGAGAATGTAACTGCTTAAAATGGAGACAGGAATCATGGATGGAAAGTCTTAGCAAACTTAAACAAATAGGAAAAACTGAACGTGGCGCCATACATGCTTTTTGTAAATACTGTCAGATGGTTTTAGGTTTTATATCCTTTTAAACTTTTTTGAAAAGTATCCCTGCAACCTGAAGGGGAATTAGCATGGGTTTTATAACCTAGTGTTTATTGCCATGTGACCGGATTCTTATGAATAACCAAATCCTCTATCGTCTTGGTATATCCCTCTGAATAAACAAAATTTCATATTTTATAATAAATGAATTTTCTAAAAGAAAGATCTTAGTAAGATGTTACTAGAGAGGGAGGAGTGGGTTGCCCTGGCTCAGTATAACATAAAAAAAATTATTAACAGCATCTTGTCTGGAGTCCCAGAGTATGTAATATTCCTGAATTTCTTTTAGAAGGCTGGAGAATCCTTTCCCACGCATATCTGGGTTGTTATGTGTGCCATCATGTCTAACTCCTTTGTGTTGCACGAGTAAAACTCTTTTTTAGAATTGGTTATTTGCAGTCCTCAGCAGCTAAGGAAACCATGCGTGCAGCAGAGTTGATCCAGGTAACATTGTGAATGAAACAGAAACTGCAAAGGGGGCATGTAGAGAACTGTATAATAATTCTGTTTGTTCTCTTTTCTGCTACTTTATTGAATAAAAAAAAAAAAGCTATACATATTCTTCAATGAAATAAAAATGGGAAAGATCTTAAATATATGTAGAGAGAACAGTTCAAGTAACCTCTTGAATTGGATAATTTTACCAATCATTCTGTTTAAAAAAACTTGCTTTTCATAATAGAGTAGGAAAGGTTTGAGATGTATTTACAGAAAATGTGTTGGTTTCTGTAGGTTGTCATGCATCCAGGTTTTAAACATATGTATTGAATATACACTGCTTTTATTCCTTTACTCGGAGCTGCTTTTTGCCATATCATTATTTGACCAAATTTCCTGTAGATTTCAAGCTCTATGAGTATTTGTTGATTTCAGTGAATTTGCTCAGGCTGCATAAAATTGAGCATGTATGTTAAAGAAACATGGTCAGAGGCCCTTTGGCTGAGTGGTCTGCATCTGTGGAAACTGTCTTAAGCACTTCCCTTGGGTCTGAGGTGGATGAAAGCTAACTCCTGTCCAGAAGCTGAATAGTCCTTCTAAGAGACATGGATGACTAATACAGGGACATCACCAGTCTGCTGCAGCGAGACAACTTCCAGATTATTAGGCATATTTGGTGTTCAGCTCCTAAAAGGAAATAAATAAGAGTGATCGCAGGTTGGGGATGAAGCACAGAAGAGACAGGATATTTTGGGAGATAAGATTTTTTTTTTTATATATATATGTATGCAGTAATCTGCAGATGATTTCAGATGATTTCTTCTCTGTCTATAAATGATACATTTTACCTTGGGAGAGAGAGGCACTTATGACAAAGGTGTTTGTTCTTTTTTGAAAAAGATTAACAATTCTGTCAGATAATCTTCAAATCTGTGCAACAGGCTGTCTGGTAAATAAAGATAAAACTTCAAAACAAATCCCAAAGAAACACTGAACCAATTTGCCGTCTTTATGTCCCTGGCAAAAGACTTCACGGTAAATTTTGGAGATCATTAGGAAGACTGACTTTATACGGGCCTAGTATAATTTTCAAAATGTGATGAGAATGGTGAGATGTTGTCTAACTGTATGCTTCTGGGGAAAAAGTGATATTTTCCAGTTTGCTGTTTTTCTCTATTAAACAAAAAACCTTCAACTTTGGTGTGTAACAAAATTATGCAAAAATCTGTGTTCTATTATGGAAGTATTAGTAGGAGAAAGAAACGACTTGAAGCAGAATTGAGATGTCAGCAATTTGGCTTTTATTTAAGGATATTAAGAATATCCTCTACCTACTGGTAAAGGGGAAATTGATGTCTTGCATGCACTAGGGAATATGTTTAGAATGAAGAGAACTATCATGAGATAGAATGAAACCTACACTCTCAGGAAAGAAAAACACTATCGACAGAATGAGAGAAGGAACCGAAATGAGACTAAATTTTTTGAAGTGGAGCAAGGATGTATTTTTACAAAAGAAATGCGCTAATTTGTGTTTGTTCCATTTATATGCTTAATAAAAAGAATTTTCATGGAAGGAGATATATGTGCAATTTATTATGTTAATTTATAGATGCAGTGTGACCACTATATACAACTTTAGAAAGGGCTGTCAAATACATATCTGTATATTTTGCTGTGATGTTGTTAATGGATGTACTGTAAGTAGTTCCTGAGAAAGGTCTGTAGTTTCGGGTCCTTTTTTTTATCTTCAAGTTCACATGTTTTCTTTTTACTCTCCATTAATAGGTAGCATAGATCAGTCAGTGCTAAAGGAGTTGCCTCCTGAGCTGCTGGCAGAAATTGAATCCACCATGCCACTTTGCGAACGTGTGAAAATGAACAAGCGCAAACGTAGCACAGTTAATGAGAAACCCAAATACGCTGAGATCAGTTCTGATGAAGACAATGACAGTGAAGAAGCTTTTGAATGTAAGTAGAATATAATTCTGTTTCTACTGCCAAAGAAGGCTAATATTTTGCTCTTACCAATATGGTTAGTTTGTATCCATGGGAATTCAATTAACACTGAAAAGAAACAGAGAGTCATTTCACAGTGAATACTTCCTCAACTGTGTTACTTATGGAATGCTGCAGGAGACAGTGCTGCTGTTAACCTGTGAAAGCACCTCATATAATGATTTCTTTTTTTTGTTTAATTTTTTTTTTGCTTTTGCTTGTATAAACTTTATATTGAACATATATCAAACGCAAAAAGTTTTTCTTAGACTTAGAAGAGATTTTATTGTCCTGATTTTTAAGTTTCAAGTTTTCTTTTAATTGATATGTAGCATTTCTACATCCATACACATACAAAATTGAAATTGAGATACTTCTCTGATATTTCTCAAAGAAGCAGAAAAGAATATCCCTTTTTCATTTCATTTCCTTTTCTTTTAAAATACTGCCAAAATGATGTTGATTTGGCTATAAGTATGAGATCTTGAGATAACATTCTGCCACTCTTGATATTGCAAAACACTAACAGTCATTTGGTTCTTTCAAGTTTGTATGTTAAAATCTCTGTTTACTTTGTAACATCACCTGTACATGATATTAATAAAGAAAAGGGAAATAAAGAAAGGGTAAAACAAAATTGCTTAACTTGGCTAGGAAAGGAGAAGATTCTGCCATTCAGAGAGACCTAGACAGGATGGAGAGTTGGGCAGAGAGGAACCTTATGAGGTTCAACAAGGACAAGTGCAGGGTCCTGCGCCTGGGGAGGAATAACCCCAGGTACCAGGACAGATTAGGGGTTGACAAGAAGTTACCTATGAGTCAGCAATGTGCCCTCATGGCCAAGAAGGCCAATGGGATCCTGGCCTGCATCAGGAGGAGTGTTGCCAGCAGGTTGGGGGAGGGGATCCTGCCCCTCTACTCAGCTCTGGTGAGGCTGCACCTGGAGTATTGGGTGCAGTTCTGGGCTCCCCAGGACAAGAAGGACATTGAGCTTCTAGAGAGGGTCCATTGGAGAGCCACGAAGATGATTAAGGGACAGGAGCATCTACCAATCCATTTACCAATCTGCAGACCTGACCCCTTGTCCGCAGAGGTCTGTTGCCTGCTGGGGGCTCGCATAAGGGATGTTGCAGAGAGACTGCCAAGGCTTGTCCAGGAGTCTGACTATTATCCCCTATTGCTGTTTCATGTGGGTGCTAATGATGCTATGGGGAAACTGAGTAAAATCGAGCGAGATTTCAGAGCCCTAGGGATGGCGGTCAAAGGTCTGGGTGCCCAGGTTGTGTTCTCCTCTATCCTGCCAATGTGGGGAATGGATATGAGGAGGAAAAGGCGCATATTACAGGTTAACAACTGGCTGTGCCGCCGGTCTTGGCAACAGGGTTT